ACAAGTCTTGAAAAACGGCATACTAGAAGCCACATGAAATTAAGTAACATGAAATGCAAGATTCCTGCATGGAGGAACCAATACAATCTTCTTTAACATTGTCAGGGCTTATTATTTGGGGGTATAGTCATTCTGTGGTAAACTATAAACTTATGCAGCTCTGTGAAGGCAAAAGGAAAAATAAACGGTGAGGGACAAAGAGGCAAATGCACCTTGAGGATTCTTTTGCAACAGAGATGAGAAAATATGAACATTGTTGCACAGGAGCAAAAGCTTGTCTGGAATACCACACAGAATTCTGAATTCCTGTTTTCAAGAAAAAGAAGTTTGAATTACAAGAACTACAGACAGGACCTACTGCTATGACCAAAGAGACTGTTTTTTAAAAGAAAAAATAATCTTCCTTATTTAGCTTAGCAAAACTGGAATCAAGATAAATATAAAARTTCTTTAAAAGGATAAACATTGGCAGGAAACCTATGCCAACATGATAYCTCAGTTTAAGTTCAACAAATGAACGTAAACAAAAAAAAAAAGAACAAAATTTATAGTGCTATTCCAGAATCCAAGTTTGTTCTGATTATAGAAATCTCCCAAACATCTTATTGCCAAAAGTAAAAGATGCAGAAAAGTCAATCTGCTTTTAAGAAAAAGACAGTATGTTCCAATACATGATGCATTTGACATGTTACCAAGAGACACACTGAGTTTCTCTCAGTTTCCATTCTAATGTAATAATCTGTCATTAAAAAAACAGAACATGAACACTATTAGCAGTATAAATTTATTCCTTACAAAATATCARCAGCAGAGAGCCCAGAAAAATGAGAGAATCAATGCAACAAATGAGGAGAAAAAAACCCAAGAAACTCACGCACCCTGAAAAATCTAAAAAAACAGTAATGGTTCTTCCTCTTCTGGATCAAGAACTGTTCAGTCTGTCATGACACTGTATAAAGATTAGGACATTTTCAAAGCCAGAAAAAAATGCACACAGAAAATTAATCAAAAGGATCTAGAAATATCTCCCACAAATTCTCACTTGTGCAAATAGGGAATATAAAAGGAGTATGGAGGGAAATTTTCTGCACATTTTTTAAAATGGACAACAGCAGGGCCTTAGGTTTTAAATAATAGGTGAGTCAAGCAACCTTGTATGTTATCTTCCAAAAAAATATTTTTTCTCAGTGTATTTCCTGTGTAATGTTTATTACAAAACATACCACTGTATCTTCCTTATGTAAAATGAAAGCAGCATAAATAATAGGACAATTTGAAGAAAAACAACGAGATTTCTGAACATGCCTGGTAACTACCTATATTTTAATTAATTTTCCACATTTTATAGCTGCCCCTGTTTGACTTCACCAAGACTACACCAATGGAGCAGTCAGGAAGAGAACAATCCAAGTTTTGTGAACGTGCATTTTTTATATATTTTTGATTTGACTATTTCAGACTACTGCAAAGAACCACTAATTTACACAGAAGTACATTCACAATTCCATTTGCCCTTCAAGAAGCTTATGTGGCATTACCATAAGGTAGCTCAGCTCCCTGACTTTAATCTCAAAAGAGCACATATATTAGGTATTACTGTTCTCCTGCTTTGCCTCCTTAAAAAAAAAAGGAGCAAAATGGCATTATTAAGAGGAAGTTTATATAAAAGCAATATACCACTTTTTAATCAGAGGGGGAGTACTACTACACCCAGAGTATTTAGCACAGAAACTTTCTAACCAGTCTAAAAAGGACTTCCTGCTGCAGAATACATTAAATTGTCATTAGATAGTAGAGAACTGAAAATTGTCACAAATTGCCTACATATGAGGTAGAAAGAATATAGTGAAATATAATAWAACTCAAATCATGACACTTAAGCCACACAATGCAAGTGTTCTTTTTTGCCGACTTCAACATCTTCTTCTTACACCTCTAAAAAGAAATAGGATGGTATAGTGAGTTTGGTCTGATCTCTTTCCTGTTTCTCCCGACCATCAAATGCAAGAACAAAACTGAAGCATGTCCACAACCATCCCAGCTCAATCCCAAAGCTGCATGCTTATCTCCCAAGTTTGACAGAATTTCCAGAATTTCTTTGTATGCCTTGTATGTCAATGAGTGGAACAGACTTGAGGGACATAGGCTAATGCAGCTGAACACAAGCGACCACCAGCTTCCAGAACCCCACTGCTCTCTTCTCATTACCACAAGAAAACTGAATCTACGCAAACATTGCAAGCATTCACATGCTTTTATCCCACAGATAAAGAAAAAAAACCCTCAGATTCTGGTTTAAGGAAATTCAAATGGCTTCCAAATCATTAACTGCACAATGCACACATGACTTYTGTATGCTTCTGCTGCTTACATTTGTATCCTATGCTATCAGTTTCTGGAACACATGTGGCAAATAATACAAATGCCTTCACAAATTCCTAGGTGCGCTTAAAAGCCAAATGTGACATTTGTTTCTTGTCATTTATGTATCAGTAAGAGTTCATAAATTATCAAAGGCTGATGTGCGTTACAACAGCAGCCTCCTACTGTTCAATCCTAAATTCTACCCTACCCTGCATAAAATCCTGTTTAAAAGCACTGCTCTTCAGTTTAGCATTCATTGTTCAGAAAGCATCAAAAAATAATGSAGGTAGGGATTGAAGCATATTTAGCAAAAACATGAGGAGAAACTGTACAACATGATTTCCAAATCAGCTGATTCACTACTCCAATACTCTCAGGCACTAAAATTCAAATTTTTTGGGACACACTGAAATGTGACAAGAAGGTATACTACATGTGAATGCTCGTTTAGAAAACCGAGATGCAGTAGGATACCATGTAAGGAGTACCAAAGGTCTTAGTTAAGATTTTTTGCATATCTAAGGAAACCTTCCWTTTCAGTAATTCCTCAGAACGCTTCAAGGCAAAAAAGATTWAAAAAAMCAAAACAAAAAAACCTAAACCACATGAGCAGGGGAGTGTTACTGTTCTCTTCCAAAGATACAATAAAAGCCCTGTACTGTGCAGCTCTTACCATCASAGAAAAAAAGGCTGCTGGCATACTGCAAAATTTTTCAGGGCATGGATTTCTGCCCTCTTGTTATAGGCATTCACCAAAAACTAYTGTTATGCAAACTACCCCACAATGAAGATAACTAAATCCTGAACTTTTCTAGGTGCAAAGAAAACTTGTCCGAAATACATCAAATTTCCCTAATTTTATCTGGCAAACCCCATTCTTTTGTGACACAACTTAAGGATTATTTGTAACACATGAGAATTGTAAAAACACAGTAAAACACCTKAAGTTGCATATCCTTGAATGTCATACTTATTAATCTCACTACAAGAATACCATTGGTGAAGAAACTATTTAAATCTGTTCATCACCCACTTTGGTACTAAGCAAAAATGTCAAATGGCCCTTCTCTGACACAATAAGGAAAAAAATGAAATGCTGAAGTGCTAAAAGTTTCTAAAAATTATCTTAATGCTCCCAATGGAAATGTTAGCAAAAAAATTACTGACATAAACATTTTATTGATATAACTGAAGCTCATTAAAAGACTGATCTCAAGGCATRAGGTATGTATGTGCCACATGTACAAATATGTAGCAAATATACTAATCAACACTTATTCCTTTTCAAAGTAACCCTTCAGTTAATAAACCATTTTTTCCCCAGCAATTATTTTTGGTCCTTATTATAGCAAAGGAAGAAAACTGGGAGCATGTAGATTATTCAGAAATAAGTCCACAAAGTGGTTCTTATCCTAAGATCTCTTGCCTGCCTGTTTATCTGTGTTCTGGTTTGCTTCCAAAAGCCATCGAAGCCAAGTAAACAAATTGCCTGTGACTATCTAGGTCTTCCTAGAATGCAAAGCTTAACTTACAGTCTACCGTACCAAACATATTTAATAAATATTTGGTGGAAGACTAAATTGGTTGTCAAAGCAAACTGCCAGAAGCACCATCACCTTTTCACAAATAAATGTGAAGCCATCAATAACTTAGCAATGCTCAAGTTCCCTTACATTAAAACAAAACCTCCCTCTGAGGAATACACGGCACTCGAAAGCTCATTTCTGTTGCTATATGTAGGTGTATCACCCTTTGCTTTGCTTATGTTCGCCGACCATTACAGCCAAATCACTTCTCACCTTGGCAAAACAACCCCTAGGGGCGCATCCTAAATTCTTTCGGTCTTAACTTTTCCCCTCTCGCTATGGCCTGGCATAAGAAGAGGGCGAACGTCACTTACGGCAGGAGTTTGGGAGCGATGCTCAAACCCAACACTGCTCCAGAGAGCCCCTTTCCCGGCGGCGCCGGCATTCCAAGGAGAACGTTTTGGGGGAGGAACGCGCCTTTCGCCACCACCCCGGCGGGGGAACCCGGACCTGGCACCGCGCCCCGCGCACCCCGCCGGCCCCGGCCCCGCTCCGGCCCCTCCGCCCGGTCCCCGTTCAGCCCCCCCCAAGAGCGGGGCGAGGCCCRCTGCCCTCCGCGGGGTCGGCTGCGGGGGCTCTCCGCTCCCCGCCCAACAGGGTGCCCCGCCCCCGGGGTGTCCCTCTCGGCCCCGGCGGGGTCTCTCTCCCGCGGCCGCCCCTCACCCGTGGGCGCCGCTCCCTCCGCCCCGCTCGCAGGGCCGCGGTGTCGGCCCAGCTACCTCCGAGCGCTTCCGCCCGGGTCACGGGCCGCTTCCGGCCCCCCCGCACCCCGACCGTGCTGCGCCCATGCTCCCGCCATGCCGTGCGCCCGGAGCGGTGCATGCTGGGGCGCGTAGTCCCCGGGGGTGGGGAAGCCGCAGGTCCGCCATGTCAGGGCCTGGGGGTGTCGGTCTGCAGCAGCTGGACATGAGTGAGCGTGTKCCCTGGTGGCCAGGAAGGCCAGCGGCATCCTGGCTTGTATCCAGAATAGTGTGGCCAGCAGGGCYAGGGCTGTGCTCAGCACTTTTGAGGCTGCTTCTCAAGCCCTGTGGATTGTTCTGGGCCTCTCAATGCACGACATCAAGGTGCTGGAGGGTGTCCTGAGGGTAACGAAGTTGGTGAAGGTTCTGGAGCACGAATCTTATGAGCAGCAGCTGAGGGAGCTGGAGAAGTTTAGCTGGAGAAGAGAAGGCTCAGTGAAGACCTTATGGCTCTCTGCTGCTAAAAAGAGGTTTAATAGGTGGGGGTCGTGTTCTCCCAGGCAGCTGGTGAGAGGACACGAGGCAATGGCCTCAAGCTCTGCCAGGGGAGGTTCAAGTTGGACATCCAGAGGAATTTCTTCACAGAAGTGGTGATTAGACATTGGAATGGGCTTCCCAGAGAGGTGGTGGAGTCACCATCTCTCAGGGTTGCTTAAGGAAAGATTGGATGTGGCAGTAAGTGGCATGGTCTGTTTGACGTGGTGGTGTTGGGCCATGGGTTGGACTCGATGACCTCAGAGGTSTTTTCCAGCGCAGTTTAATTGTGAGACTCTGTAGCTGAGCGGCGCACGGGAGGTGCTGACACGGAGCCGCAGCGCCGCCGGCAGCCTGGCGGGGGCGCTGCCGAGCGGGCCGGACCCTTCCCGCGGGCGGAACCAAAGCGCGGCGTGGCGGCGGCGCGGCGGGGGCTGTCGGTGCGGCACCGTTGGCGGTGTCCCCGGTGCGGCCGCGGCCCCGCCATGCTGCCGCTGCTGCTGCTCCGGGCCGCCGCCGCCCCCGCCGCCTCCGCCGCCTGCCGCCGCGCCTCCGCCTCCACCTCCACACTCGCATGGCTGCGGGGCACCGCGCCCCCCGCCTGCCGCCACCGGCYCTCCCTGCCGGCTGCCGCCGCGAGGTCCCAGCAGGTTGTGTGTGGGGGCTGTGGGGACTGTGTGTGGGAGTGGGGGGAGTGTTCCCGCTCCCCGAGGGAAGGGTGGCTGCCCGCCCTTGGATTCGCGGTTTTGCTCTTGGGGGATTTTGAGGAGGAAAACGAGGTTCTTCCCGGGGCRGTTCTTCTCTCTATTAGGCTCAGGTGAGAACCCACCYGGAGTGCTGCGTCCAGCTCTGGGGGCCCCAACACAGGGGGACAGTTGGAGCGAGTCCAGAGGAAGCCACCAAGATGATTAGAAGGATGTAGCACCTGTCCTACATCCCTCTAATGATGAAAAGCTGAGGAAATTCAGTTTGTTCGGCCTGGAGAASACTTCAGGGTGACCTAATTGCGGCCATCCAGTACCTGAAGGGAGCCTATACAGAAGTCGGAAGGGTCCTTTTTATAAGGAAGTGAAGTGCCAGGACGAGGGGGAATGGATTCAAACTGACAACAGGTTTAGCTAATCTAAAGAAAGCTATTTGCCAATCTAAGTAGGAAAAAAATTCTTTATTGTGAGGGTGGTGAGGCACCGTAATGGGTTGCCCAGAGAAGCTGTGGATTCCTCAACCCTCCAGTAGTTTAAGGCCAGGCTGGATGGATCTTGGAGCASACTGATATAATGGAAGGTGTCCCTGCCCACAACAGGGCTGTTGGAACTGGATGATTTCTAAGGTCTGGTTCAGTCCAGGCCATTCTATGATCAAACAGAGACCTGATGAGCACAGGTGCCATAAATGTCTCCCTGCAAACTGGTGCGTAAATTGATTGCTGCCTAAATTCTCAGTAATAGTGCTGCAAACATTTAATGCTGATGTGGGATATTTATATGGAAAATTATTAAAATGGTCAGGCAGTATATTAGTTGGAGTTTCTGGCATGCYTTGGAGTGTAACCTAAGTTTAATCCCTAGTTTAAAATGCTGGGAGTGGGTTTAGGGCAAGGAGAAACTTTATGTGAGTATATACACATAAAGTATATAGATGGATAGGTAGATACAAGGTGTAGTACTGATGTTACTTAGTCATRTACTGTTTTCATCTTTCAGGTTACCTCCTTTCAAGGAGTGGCTGTTCGCAGCCTCAGCACATCACCCCCTCATGATCACCCAGAACATGGAAGATTAGTTTATAAAGGAAATTTGGCAAAGACWGTGTTAGGTACGTGACTTTAAGTGGTTTATATTACCTTTTTTTTGTTATTTTTATAACAGTGTTTAGTAACTCTAAAATGGAACAGTAAAAGTGAGTGTTCTCCTTTCCAAGTTTGCCAAAATSTGAATTGTCTGTACAGCAAAACAAACAAAGTGGTAATGGTAGTGTTTTGTTTCTGCTTCTCTGGCTGGATGTGCAGGGAGTTCTGTTCCTCTCTGTAACCCCTCAGCCTTCTTTGGCATCTCTTGCAGCCCTTGTGGTTTTTTAGCCATCCCAATAAACAGCAAAGATGAGCTGTAACTGCACACATTTTGTGTGCTTGGAAGTGTTCGTGAAATGCTTCCCAGGGAGACAGGTATTGTGATGAAATGCTCTGCTGTAGTGACATTTTCTTATCTGTCTTTGACTGGTTAATGTTAMAAAAACCTCATGAAAAGTAAAAGACATTGGGTGTTTTCTAATACACWTCTTTTAAATGTGTCCTAACGTACTTATTTGTCATAGCATCTTGGCCTCATGATTCTCACTGTGGATTAAGGACTGTAGGTGTTCCACAACACTGGCTACCATCTTTCAAACCACRTGTAAGATGGGTCTGGAGTACTTGTTAAAATTTAATGACCCAAGGTTTATGCATGGTGAGGGACCAAACTGACTTYATAATGCACACTGAGTATCAACATTAGTTGTTAAAGAAGAGAGAAATTCCCTGTCTGCCATATTTTCAGTGAGCACCATTGGATGTGTCCATGACTTGARTCAAATATTGCTAGAAATGAGTTTTCCTGCCTGTGAAGTAAAAACATCATAGGTGTGTATAACAGCTAATAGCTGAGTGCATCATAGAAATAGAGCCAGCTACCAGCTTTAATAAACCCAACATGAACATACAAACACAAACAAATCAGAATGGTCACAACAAAACAGGGTTGAGCTTTCAAAGGTTTCTCAGTGAACTTAAAAAAAAAAAAAAAGGAAAACCATTATCAGTAACTTCATAAATTCAAGTAATGGCATTGTGATATGGTAGAAGAATATATGTAATTGTAGAGAAGATTTTAGTCATAAGAGTTAACCTTAATTTTCTTTGTGTTCTGTTTTATGTAGGTGTGAGGTTTTTCTCTTACTCCACCAGCATATTCAACCTGTTCATGATGCCCTACATCATGCTCAAGAGTGGTATTGGAGTGGAAAGTCTGCTTGTCCAAGCTGCCTTTTATGGGTTGATCGGGTTTTTTACRTTTGTAACTCCGGTTACTTTGCATATCCTTACAAAAGGTTACGTGATCCGACTCTATTATAAAGATGAAGTGGACACCTATACAGCCATTACCTACAATGCCATCTTGGGAGAAAAAGCAACTGTTTTCCATCAGAAAGATGTAAAGATTCCAGACATCACCAAGATGTTTACAACATTTTATGCTAAAACRAAATCAATGCTTGTTAATCCTACGCTTTTCCCAAATCCTCAGGATTATAACCATCTCATGGGCTATGACAAAACCCCATTGTTTAAATTTGAGGAATTAGAGGAGGTAAAGGAAGCTGATGGAAGGAAATAATTTGAAGATATTGTTGGTGTCATTGCCCATAATGCAGTGTTGTAAATGTGAAAGAATGTAAAAATCTATTACACTTGCTTAAGTATCAGGTAGCTTGAGTTTCAAATATGCATCTTGGAATGTATAAAAAGAGACAGTTTTTAAAAAATATTACAAACAATGTGAGCATTTCTTTAGAGTTAACCATATAAAGTACAGTAAAAGTAAGGAGATGCTTAGACCTGTCTTGTGCTTGTTTGTTCTTGTTTTGATTGTTACTGTTAGCTCTCCAGAGAACTGTAAAACATATGAGCTGTGTGCAGTCTCACCTTCTCTGTGTCAAAAAAAGCCATGTGTAATAGAAAAATCATCAACACCCATTAGACTCATCAAGTATTTAGTTAAGCTRTTAAGCCTTAAATATTAATTGTACTTAATCCAAAAATGCTGGGCTCTTTATCGGTGTTGTTGGTGGTATAAAGAGTGAACATGGCTTTCCAGTCCCTTTGTGAGACCATTGGTAGCCAGAAGGAGTCTTTGGAAAGCAGACAGGTGTTCTTGTGAATTCCTACTACAACCTACTCCCAGAGGAGAGGAGATCATGGGGAGGACGACTGTGTTGTAGTAATCTCTGGCTGCTCAAAACTACTCTCAGGTTTCTTAAAGTCCCACTCCATACAACCCTTTCCCCAGAGGTGGAGAGTGATAAGCCTCTTTTCTGGGCAGGAGAAAGCACCAGGGCATAAGATTTGCTCTGTGAACATTCCACAGACAACAGGTGCTTTATTTGAATCTACTTGAAAGAAAATTTTAGCAGCTACTGGTTAAAATGCATTCTGTAGCATTTATGTAAGGTGGGGAAGCACTTGTGCCTTTTAAAAATGTACCTCTTGATTTTCAGAACTGATAAAAAAGCCACCTCTCACTCAACTAAAAAGGGGTTCAGGTCTTTTTGTGGTGCTAGACTGGTTCTTCTCCCTTGATTATGTAGAGGTTGGATTTAAATTTTTTAGCCCAAGGCACATAAACTGATGGATACATGTTTTCGAAGAAGGTTCTTCTCCCTTGATTATGTAAAGGTTGGATTTAAATTTTTAGCCCAAGGCATGTAAACTCATGGATACATGTTTTCAAAGAATGAAGGGCCTAAATATTTTGAGACAAAAAAATTACTGAATCAAAAAAAACCCTCAAAGTTAAAGTTAATCCTTATGTGTTAGCAGTACCCTTTGTAATAGGAAAATCTGATGTTTTCTATTAGTCATCCTGATTCTGCAAATAAAGAAAAAAATTACTATAGCTAAATTTCAAGATGATTCCTAAGTTTTAGCTGAAAAAYTGTATTTAGACTGTTAAAAGTCTAAATGTCTTCCAACACTACTATTTCAATTTACTTTTGTAGGATGACGCAACAGATGGTACTAAACCACTGGGGCTGAATGTTGTTTTTCTGACTGCCCTCAATGTACTTGCTGAGTAATTAAAAAGCAAATCATCCCATTCCAGTATTTTTGAGGCAGGTCTTTTGTGTTCGCACAGCTATAATTTTGAATGCCTGATTGAGTTTCATTAAGCCAGTATCATTCCATAGGTAGCAATAATAAAATTTTCTTAAGTTATGCTGAACATTTGAGGTTCAAATTATATTGAACAAGCAATTCTGATCACCTGGTTGTACTATTTGTCCTCACTGAAATTATGTTTTACACCTAGGTAAAAGTATTCTCTGTGTCTGATGCATTCACTCACTTCTTTTAATGCTTGCATTGAAAGATTAAGTCGACTTGATCTTCCAATGCCGAATACAGGGACAACAAGAAACAGAGCTTGCAGAAGAAGGTAAAKGAAAGGCCCTAAAATTATGTACTCCATAGGCAATATCAAAATCCTCATCTTTTTCTTCTGACTGCAAAAAGTTTTCATTTCTAAATTTGAGATTTYGCCAATTCAGAAGCAGCAAGAGTAAAATAACCCATCCCAGTGGCTAAGCTTCCGTCTATGAAAGAGAAATATTTTTTCTGCTTGTGTTCTGGTTGCGAAATACAAGTTAAGCTAGTAGGCTTTCTGACACAAACGATTAAATATAATATTAAGGAGTCCAGAATTCTGCCAGAAGATAGATCATGATTCTGGCTATGATGTAGTCTCAGAAAAAATATTTAGTACTTCCAATGTGCAATTTGAAATAATAGAATAGTACTTTTATATTAAGGAAAGGGAGGAGCAGACTTACAGAAGATACTAAATTTTCTGCCTGCTTCTACTTTTGTTTGCTGCTACATTTAGAGTGTGTGTATAGGATCGTAGAACCACTTAGGTTAGAAAAGACGTCTAAGATAATTGAGTCCAACTATTAACCCAGCACTGTCAAATCCCCCACTAAACCACGTCCCTAGGTGCCACCTCTATGCATCTATGCATCTCCACCATGATGACTCAGTTTCCTGGGGAGCCTGTTCCAATGCTCAATAACCCTTTCAGTGAAGAATTTTTTCCTAATATTGTCTAAACACCCCCTGGTGCAGCTTGAGGCTATTTCCTCTTGTCCTATTGTTTGCTAAGTGGGAGAAGAGACTGATCCCCATGTGGCTACAACCTTCTTYCAGGCAGTTGTAGAGTGATAAGGTCACCTGTGAGCCTCCTTTTCTCCAGGCTAAACAGCCCCAGTTCCCTGAGCTGTTCCTCAAGACTTGTGCTCCAGACTGTTCACCAGCTTCATTGYCCTTCTCTGGACTCAACACCTTAATGTCCTTTGTGTAGTGAGTGGCCCAAAAATGAACACAGGATTTGAGTATGCTTGCACACATGTGACTGATTTAGATCCTTGGAATTGTTGACAGCAGTTAGAATCAAAATAAAGCAAGGGAACTGTAATCCAAAAAGACTTCAAGATGTGCTTCTGCATTGCGCTGGGTTATGGATAGTCTGTCTTAATAAAGGTATTTTGYAATGCACTGAGTGCATTTCCAAGTGGGAAGCTCTGAAATGCTTGGAGTCCTAAGGTAGAAAATGTGCATAAACCAGAACAGGCCCTCTTGCTACCAACAAATCCTGCAAGAGAATCAACTGTGGTGTGAGTGTTTCAATAAACAAATTAATACCAGGTAGTTCCCAAAGTCTGTTAGCTCTGTGTCTRTTTAACAACCCTATTAATTATGTGAACTACTGTTTCCTTCTAGTGTATTTTTCTTGTCTTATAGACTTGGTGAAAACCAGTACTAGTTACAGAAGTATTACTACTACTACTAACATTTTCATCCCTGGAAGTTGCTGATATTTCTTTGGGTGTGGGTAACATATATGATATAGAAGAAACAACTTATGAAATATAGAGAATGTGCTTGTACACATAGATGTTCTGAAGGAAATACTAACGTAGAAGCCCAGTTTTCTGAAATAAGTGATTTACCAACTGTATAATTTGCAAGGCAACATTTACAATGAAGGCTGCCAGCTCCTGCAACCTTTTCAGGACTAACCAATCATTCACAGCAGCTTGGTCTCGCATCTTATCCTTGTACCAGTTTCACTTGATGTGGTGTGAAGAGCAGGAACRTATCAATGTGTATCAGGAGCAGTGTGGCCAGGAGGACCAGGGCAGTGATTSCCCCCYATTACTCAGCACTGGTGAGCCCACTCCTCATGTACTGTGTTCAGTTCTGGACCCCTTAATTTAGGGAGGATGTTGGGGTGCTAGAGCATGTCCAGAGAAAGCAATGAKGATGGTGAAGGGTCTAGAGGGTAAGTCCTGTGAGGAGCAGTTGAGGGAGCTGGGATKGTTTAGCCCGGAGGAAGGGAGGCTCTGGGGTGACCTTATCACTCTACAGCTATCTGAAAGGAGCTTGTAGCCTTTTGGGGGTTGCTGATCTCCCAGGCAACAGCAGCAGGATGAGAGGAAAGGGCCTCCAGCTGCTCCAGGGGAGGTTTAGGTTGGACATCAGGAGGAATTTCCTCATACAAAGAGTAATTAGACATTGGAATGGACTGCCCAGGAAAGTGGTGGAATCACTGTCCCTGAAGATGTTCAAGGATAGGCTGGAAGTGGTGCTCAGAGCCCTGTCTAATTGACACCGTGGTGTTTGCTCATAGGTCGGACTCAGTGATTTCAGAGGTTTTTTTCTAACCTAGTTAATTTGTGATTCTATATGAAAAAACTGAAGCCTCCTTCCTAGATATGTTTTTCCTTATCCCCTTCCAGCCTTAAATGGTTCCACAGAAGGTCATAGATGAGTGAGTTTTTTCTTTTTTTTTTTTTCCTTTCAAACAGCAGTCAGGTTATATGCAAATTTTTCTTTTCAGTCTTTGACTACACGCTATTTTCTTGCTGGTGGCCCTCTTTCTTCTCTCAAGTTTTTGGCTTTGTCCACATTATTATTCATTAGTCCCTATCTGTTCTTAATTAYACAGTACAAAGCTCCTTGTAATTCTTTAAAGTTATTTTTTAAATTAAATTATCCCACAACCCTCATCCTTTTCTTGCAAATGTAAAAATTTCKGATGAGAAAATTATCCCCTTTTGATACTTCAAAGAGGAATCTTTAAAGCCTTGAGGTACTTCACACTCTTAGCCACACTCTGTAGAATTAAAAGGTAACTAATTTGACTGGATCTTGCTTTATTACAGACCAAAGTCATCACACTGGCAAAGATGAAGAAAAGCTGTAAATTTTTGCAYGGTACCATAAGGGCCTAATTTAGGTGGTGGAAACTTCATGAAAATCTCTTTGTGCTGTAAAAATTAAGAGTAGACGTGGATTTTTACAATTGCTCYGTATAACTTAATAGGTGGAAACTTGGTAAGCTGCTGTAATTTRGTTGCTCAGAAGTTCTGTGGCCATACCACAAATTACTTCATGCCTCATACCATGGATTTCTTCATGTCCCCATGTACAGCAATAGCCTGCTGCAGCCTGACTGAGAAATGGGACAAGTGTGCTAGCTAGGAGTTGGATCCACTGTAATAAGATTATCCCAGAGCTATACAGACCTCAGCAAGCAGCTATTTTAAGCAGGGAATAACAGAGAACAAGAGCAAACAGCCGCAAAACATGTCCAGCTGTCTCCATTTCTAGAATTCCAGGGTGGACAGTGTTGCTGTGGTGTGTGCTTGCCATGAGCCTCAGGTAGGACACATCCCTTTCTTCTCCCTTCCCCCTCTTCTTTCTCTTCTTTTTGACAATTTTAGTTGAACTTGTCCTTTGAAAAGTTTAATGAAGACTTTAGAGTACAACTGTGAGTTTTAATCCTAAACTTGGCTTGCAGAGAATAAACCATAAGCCTACTGGCAAGTTGCAGAGAGTTGTTTCCAACATAATTGTTTCCACAGGAAAACCATACCACCTGGTATGTATTTGCTTCATTAGAATAGTCTCCAGTGTTTTAATGTGATATATTCAAATCAAACCACTAAGCCAAAGTTCATATAGCATTTAACAGAATATATTCAGCATAATGCAGAGCACTTTTTCTCTATTTCAACAACTCTTTGGTTTCTTACTCGAATGCTACCAACTCACTGCTGGATATGTGCCAGGCACTCTGCTCTTGGATTGGACTCCCCTGGCACTCTCAAGCATTTCATCAGCTGCATGTAGAGGAAATTACTCCTTTACCTCTTTCTTGTATCCCTGGGCAYGACTTTCTACTTTCACTATAAATATTGTCAAAGATAGGGTGAGGGGATTTGAGAAGAGAGTCTTCAGTTTTCYATTCATCATGCTGATAGCTGAGAGTGTTTTTATTTTGTGAATGCAGTCTTATGCCTTATATAGAGGCCCTTTATGTTGGAGTGCCTTCAGCATCAACCCTAAAYCCAGAATCAGAATGAATAAACATGTCTGCTTCCAGATGCAAAAYGATCTACTTCTAAAACTCCTGCAAGGAAAATTATTATTGCCTCTTTCTTTATTGAGTAAATGCGGTTAACATCTTAAAAGAGTTTTCCACTAAAGTGAAATTTGTTACATGCCAAGAACTAGGACATAATCTTTAATTTTCTCTGACTAACACTTTGAAATGGAATATTTTCCTCTGCTACACTGGTATACTGTTATTTATTTTTCTATGATGGGCTGTTACGATCATGTATATTCTAAATCTTTCTTGAGGGAGATTTCAGTGACTTATAAGTGCTTATCTGGTCAGCGTACTCATCTGAAGCCAACAATCCAAAGTGATTATTTTGAAAAGTAATCACAAGTAAGTTAAGCACTTTTTAGATCCATTCAGAAAGAAGAGAAAAGTATCATGAATTATTTTAAGGATTTTAACCACAAATCAGTGAGGAGGCTTGGAATAAACTTTTGTTCTCAGCATCTCAGATGTAAAAGAATTAAAAGTCATAGGTATGAAGTCTTAAATTTTTTAGACTTGGATTTATGTACTGTTAATTGGATATGACAGTTGGTTCCTACTGAACATACTTGCAAAGGATTTCGAAATAAATGAARTAAATTGTGACAAAACCTCAGTGAAGTAACACTATTGTGTAGCTCTTTCCACTTCTCTTTCCTTTTCATCTTCCTTCTGGATCAGAATATATAGGAAAAAGATTATAATAAAGAAAGAGGATTTAATAAAATTAAAGTATTTGGTACTTTATAATCTTCAGCAGTAATCTTCATACTGACTTGAACAGAACAGACTCTTCACGCCACTAGTGCCTGAATTTGGGACTTAAGTGATCATCACAAGAGGTCACTTCTGTGAATAGCATCAATATGGGTATCAAAAGCCACAAGCTTGTAAAACTGAATTTACTGAAAATATTTCAAAATTATTTAAGCTATTCCGATTTAACAACAATTCGATCAAACACAATGGTTAAGGTTGCATGCTTTATAATCATGATCTTAAAGGATATTTTAGCTGTGATACAGTAGCACTTACTGTTCCATTTTTCCCATTTAGCCAGCCAGATCCTTTTAAAATTGWACTTTCTTATGCTGGCTTTTAAAARCATTGGGATAGTCTTGACTTGAGCAATAAAAATGCARTTAGGAAGGACTAGGAGGTTTCTGCATGTGCCTGTCAGTCTGAACCAGCAGGGGGGACTCATTCCTCATCTATAACTTTACTGCAGTGAGTGTCTGAAAAAAACACCGRTGCTTGAACCTGGTCTAGAAAGTCAGTTCAGCAGAGAGCTTGTCTYCCTTTCTATTAAGAGAGCTTTTATGTGAAATCTTGTCAATCTGCAGCGCTCTTTCTGCCCATGAGTRCATCAGCCACCCAACACGTTGGGCAGCAACACCAGACCCAGTCTGGCCACAGAAGGACTCACATTCAGCTGGGAAATGGTGTGAATCAGTGGGGTATTGTCAGTGCCACCTCCTACCTGATTCACGCTGAGCTGTGACTTGTCCTAAACCTATTGGACTGACAGAAGACTCAGCAGAGAGCCTGGCTTGGCTTCTCACTGATTAAGCATCACACAGGTGGTCATAGCTTTGTGGTTGAAAGGATTATTTTTTCGGCTGTACATGCAAAAGGTAGCACTAGTCCATTTCTTTTTTTCCAAGTATTACAGCCTTCCTGGTGTATTTCAATTTCACTGCATGTTTTACAATTTTTAAGCATAATTTGTCYATCTTGAAACAGAACTGTGTTGTTGCTACGATCACAAAGGGCTTAAATGTTTTATGGTATCCTGTTAAACAACAGCAAAAATCTGTTCATAATGTATGTACTGTGGTGATCTGTCAGGAAAGCTATATAATTTTGAATTTCCACTTAAAAGCCAAATGCTAGAAATATCCTAAAATTTTGAACTCTGTTAGGCCGGTGGGACTCTTTTTGTGGTCTGTAGAAGGATTTGGAAATACTGGTGAGAACTCTCTAGCCACACTATATTTTCAAATTTTTATCTTATTTTGTGAATTGTTACATGTAATAGCTCATTAGTTGGTACTTTCAAGCACTTTTGATTGAATTTTCACCTTCCTTAACTAATCTAGGAACTCTCCTCATCTCTGGACACAATCAGTGACAGTTTTGCACGCGTTCTTATTCCCACATAATCTTTTGTGTTACATGTTCAGAGAAGCTTCTGAAAAGCACTTTCCTAATATTTTGCTACTTTACCTTTATAACATGGAAAATATTACCCTGGTATGCAAAGAATGTGTGAGAATAAAAACTTTCAGGCACTTTGATGGGTACGGGGAGAGTCAGGACAATTGATTAAGTTATGTTTGTTGTAATTTTTATTGAGTTTCCTGCTCAGCACAAACTTAAATAGTTGTCTATTTAATACACTGCTTTTTTTTTTTTTTAAGCGTTTCTGTTGTAAGAGGAGTCAGCATACATATATGCAAAGAAAGTAACTTGTCAGAAAATTATTTGCTTAATTTCTGTCAGTCATTCCTCCATTAAATTCAGATTTCCATATTTTGTTATAGTGAGAAAAAAATTCAGTTGTGTTTTCTGTCAGGTGGTTGTTGTACTCTCTTGAATGGGTATTAGGCTTAATTTGATTTCTTTCTGTACTAGGGCTAGCAGTACTGCTGGATTTGTGCAATAAGAGCTGATCCAGTTTAGTCCACAGAACTGATATAGCAGATACAGGCAAGTATGTTATTCTTTGTGTAATGCACTGACAGACAGAAATAAGAGCATGTATCTAATACCAAAAGTGCTTTAAGAGGTTTTTGTTTTTGGTGTTTCAAACTTGAGTATTCAAAATCTGTGACCTTGAGTGTTCTCAGCATCCCAAGATAAAATCAGGTCCTAACCTGCCCTCAGTTGTGATGGCAACATGTCAGTCGAACCTGACATGTAAATAATATGTAAAAATAGGTAATTCTTTTGTTAAATTTGTGAGATAATTACTGTAGTCTGAGGGATGGAGAATTTTCTTTCAAATTTGTTTCTTTGATGAATACAGAAAAAAATAAAAATAAATATATTTCTGTTATTAATGATGCTGTTCTAAAAAATACCGAAAAAATAAAAATAAAATACAGAAAAATAAAAAGAAGTATTTTTCTGTTACTAATGATGCTGTTCTAAGAATTTTACTTCACAGATGTAAATATCACCACACTGCTGGTTCAGACAGCTAGGAGAGAGASAGCTTTTGTCAGTAATTGACTCGTGTTTGGTGTCCCTGGCCCCAGGCTGTGCGTGGCTCTGTGCTCTGGGCAAACCATGYGGTGCTGCTTCTCCAGCAGAGACTGTGGGGAAGAATCTGGGAAAAGGTGGCAGAGAGGCTCTGGAAGGCAGATGTGGGAATTATCAGTTGTAATGTTATTGATTTTTGAGTTTGTTCTCATTAAGAATTATAACTGTGATAGAAGCAGCTTTGAAGGTGGTTTSTGATGTCATGCAGGACATCAGGGGTTCTACTCAGTAATGTCAGATGGTTGCATTCAGCCCCATTTGAAATACATCATCTGATTACATTCCTCCAGATTTCTGGTGTGTTCTTGAAGCACAGTGAGCGCTGAAAGAAATTTATTGTGCAAACATGTGAGAGTTACTGACTACTATAAAAATAAAATAATGGACTTGGTTTTCATCAATTGTGGGTTTTCCTCTTCTTTAATATGTGCAGGACATTCTGTGTAATATGTACAGGACATTCTGTGTTTGAAATTATGTCTTTAAAACTGTTACACATGGTGAGTCAACTAAACTTGCTCTTTACGTGCTTCTGGTAGTCATAATGACATTTCACTTCCCCATTTCACACAGGTTTCTCTTTCATTTTTCAGCCATGGCTTGARCTGCATTGTCTGGGGAAAATGTAACAACAAAAGCAGGAATTCTTTTTCTTCACAAAATTTAGTGTGATGATAACTGATGGTGCTGCAGTAGAAATACCTAAGATTGCAGAGAATTTGATAAACAACAGAACTTTCCCTGAAGACATGTGACGGACGATGACTGTGCTGGATTTTGTTCCTCTTTCCCCAAAACGAAGTTTTATACCATCGAATACTGAGCAAAAAAAAGTAACTATGTTTGGACTCCTCTTTTTCATTTTATTCACCCCTGGAGTCAGTGAATTTCTTTGTTCATCATCAGATCTTGAAATGTCATATACTTTTTGTGGTAAGTTAAAAATAGGTAATCCTTTTCTTAAATTTGCGAGATAATTACTGTAGTCTGAGGGATGGTGAATTTTCTTTCAAATTTGTTTCTTTGATGAATACAGAAAAAAATAAGTATATTTCTGTTACTAATGATGCTGTTCTAAGAATTTTACTTCACAGATGTAAATATTACCACAATGCTGGTTTGGGCAGCTAGGAGAGAGAGAATTTTATTCTCAAGTGAAGTAAGCATGTTTGGGTTCAGAAAATATTAGAAGATAATGGATTTAAACTTGTTTTGCAGGTACTCTGTTGTATAAACTATGTCTATTTAGTTAAMTACTATGTTACAATGAAAAGCTTGAGGTATGTTGGAAAAAAAGTGGGAATGTGATATTCTGTCAGGCTGGGGTACCAGTCAGGCTCTGGGACAGCATCGTGTGTCCCTTCTTGCCACATCTGTGTCATGGCTGATATTTTGTATATTTTAAAAATACTAGGTGGGTCACTCACATAGCAAATCTACTCAAAGATTCATTTACATTATCCTGGAAAATATGCTGGTRTATTAAAAATATTTTTAGCTGTTGTCAGCATGATTAGTAAGTAGGGATATTTTCAGCAAAAGGCTGTGATGGCTTAATGCTAATAAAAAGTTTGTATAACTTCAAAAGAGAAATAAAGGTACTTTTGTCTCTGTTTTTTGTGTGCAAAGTGTCATCAACCAAAAAYTGACTAATCTGGTTACTTAAATAAATATGATACTGCCCTCTAAACATAAAAATTATTAATAATACAATTTAAAACACATATTTAATATTTACTACATGTATTAATAGTATATACYTTGTATTAATACATTTAAACATACACATGTGTTTTTTGTGTGTATAATTGTATATTCTTATTATTTTTCTGGGAAAACCTATTTACATATCAATGTGAAATACTTTTTCTCTGTAGATTCTATAGGTCATGCTTTCATGTTTAATCTGACACCATGCACTCTAAGGAACAAACCTGTCTGGAAAGCTGGTCTTACCTGGATTCCAAGTGAGTCTCTCTTAACTGGACAATTATATTCTGGAAATGCTGAAAAACAAACACAACTGAAAAACTGATATTTCATCCTGAATGGCATGTGATTTAGGAAATCAGTTTCTGTGATTAAAAATGGAATGGATAAACTATAGAGCTGGACAGAAATGATGATTTGTGAAAATGTGTTTGAGTTTTACTTGGAGCAGTTACCAGAGCCCTGCACATGAGCTTTCACTGTACATGCAAATCTGAGACAGTTTAGGTGCATGGACAGAAATGATGATTTGTGAAAATGTGTTTGAGTTTTACTTGGAGCAGTTACCAGAGCCCTGCACATGAGCTTTCACTGTACATGCAAATCTGAGACAGTTTAGGTGCATGTGCATTTTGCTTTTCTGGCAGAAGTCTTTTAAAGGATAAGGAGTATCATCAGGCCATCCAAGTATGGCAGGTCTTCTGTGAATATGCATGTTCCAGAAGCTGGAAATGGCTCTGGATTTTGTGTCCAAACCCGACAGTAATCATTCAACACAGCTTTAACCTGGCAACTTCAGCTGATTAAATGTTTATGAAATGTCTGTATCATAAACTTCACCTTCTGGACTAGGTTCACTTCCCTAGAATGTCATCTTTATGATGGCTACCAGCATTCAGTATAGTTTGTTTGCAACACCTGCTTAAAACTAAGGTCTTYGTCTGAACATATATTTAAGTTAGCTGTGGAGCTGAGTGAGCTCTATTTTCTTTACTGAACAAATTAAAACAGACTTTCAGACTGTTCTCCCAAATATTTTTTATGATTAATTTTTTTTGTTGCTGTTGTTGAAAATCAGCTTTTTTTGTTTTTTTTCAGGAAGTAACAGTTTTCAAGATTTATCTTTTTTTTTTTAGTTTTGGGGGGAGTCTTTCAAAAATAGTGCATTTCAGCAAAGCCTAGTTTTTATCTAAATAGCATGTCCCCATATATGTTTTTTTCTCTTCACCAGTTACCATTTTTTTTACTTGCAATGTTTTAACTAGGAAGTGACATCCCTTTTTTGAAGATTGTCTTCCATGTCTGGTATGATGGTGCCAGAGCATTCCACTGGCAAGAACTCCTCTGCAGCGGAGCTGACGATGAATACTCCGTGTGCGGAATGCTGAAAGGAGGTTGGTGTGAAAATTCATGGTGCAACCAACCCTTGCAAACAGATTTTTCCCTCCACAATCTAGACCTTTCTTGGCAGGCAGGAGATCTCAGAGCAGGCAGTTCTCCAGTGCCAAAACCCCATTAAAGTAGAAAATGTCCAAATTCTATGTTTTAACATTTTTGTACTGCAGTTTCCCTCTCCATAAATGAGGATTACTAATATATCATTATGATACCTTCTTCTCATTATGACACTTACTATTAACATCTCTAAAATGACATGGAAAGACTGCATTTGACTGGACTGACCAGGAAACTTGAAAGGTGCTATGGGCACTATTAATATCCAAAACAAAGTTTATTTATGTAAGTGTCAGGATGGGTTTTTTAAGAGATTTGCTACATCCAGATGTGATTTTTTTTTCTTTTTCCAGTAGAGAAGAAGCAATCCTTTGGTAGGGGCTAACAAGCACTGCCATGACACAGGCTCAGATTCAGAGAATTCAAGCAGGATGTCAGACTAAAGGCCATAAAGTCCTGTAAGGAGGTCAAAAGACAGCCTGTGTGCTCCTTTCTTTGAAAGTCAGTGTCAGCTCTTTTCGGTTGCCATTCAACTAAACTAYTATTACAAGTTAAATCACTGGAGTTAYCACAGGAGGATGTGTCTGGAGGAGRTGTTGCAGGAGCACTGTGGGTAATTTCTGTTTTCTAACATGGTTTCAACAGATCTCTGAGAGAAGAACCAGGTGAGGGTTYTATCAGTGAAAGAGTAAATGGCATTGGTAACTGCTGCTGAGAGATATGTCATAGTACTTTGAAGTTATTTATGCAGTCTGATTGATGGCTTYATGGTTAAGTAACCCTTTGTATTATAATTATCTCTGTTTTACAGAAACACTGGTATCWGAATTTGACATTAAAGGTTCAAGAATAAAGTTTCCAAAGGTACTTTTCAACATTTTATATAAAGAAATAATAATAGTAAAATCACATAYTTCCAGGTGCATTTTATTCTGAAGGGAGATGTTCACCCAAATGGTAGAAAACAGAAGAGGAAATGTCAGAAAACTTTCTTGTAAAAGAAGTGATGACATTAAAATGGTAGYATCTCTGAAATGTTAGATGTTCTAAGGTTATTACTCTTCTATCATTCCTCCTTTATTTTATAAAAGAAAAGACCAACAATAGCAGTTAATGTCACCTTAATAATTCCATTTTGTTTGGTAAATTATTCTCCTTTAYCTGTTTGGGTAAATCCATTCATATTCCTTCTGCCCATTTCATTCTTTATTTTACATTCTCTTCACATGCTGCTCTGTTACTCCCATAAACCATTTTCRAAGATTTGAAGAGGGATAACAATATCCAAAGAGTAATAGCAGTGCTCTAATGTTAAACCAGGGGSAGCATCAGTCCTCAGGTTAACCCAYTCTCATCCAACARCTGCCTCATCAGCTGTCTGAGCCTTTCCAAGACCCTTGTCATCCTTATTAATCCCTAAAAATGTCACTCAGGAGCTCCTACTGGCCCAAAATCTCAGCACCCCCTTAAGCTGATGGGTCTCCAAGTRTTGGACTCCATCCATCCCAGCATCKCTTGTAGCCCCCCAGCTGGAAGTGGACARGAACATCCTCTGCCAAGGGCAGTCCTCCTATAGATGAGATGAGGAACTTATGGCAGACCTGGCACTTCCTGATGGGACTTTGTTAGACCAGGAGCTGYTGTTCCTGAGTACCCCAGTCAGGAGAATAAAGCTGAGCACGATTTTTCTTTCATGATAACAGTCCCTGATGGGAATCTGTCTTTTTMAGTTCTAACAGAAATCACCAGAACTATTCCACACAGCTACTTAGGCAAGAGTGGGCAGCATTATGCACTAATTGTCTTTTTTTTTCTTGCTTGTTTTAGGGCAATTATAGTATTATTGTGCAAGGATTCTCTGATGATTCTGAGAATAATACGATCCTATGCTTGAATTTCACCATGACAGTAAAACAAGATCCTTTCTGAGTACAACAAATGTCTCAAATAATTCCRGAACATGGAGGTCACTTCTGTGAACAACTGGAATCCAAGCTAAAAAGTAATAAGCACACTCTATTTTCTGAGGTAGAATGCATCATGTGCTGTCTGGAAAGCTAAATGATGTATAGCCTTACTCATYTGTAGCACAGCCATAATCAGTCGCTCCGCCAACGTGCACAAAATCTCTGGGAACCAGGCTTCTTGATTAATCCACAGAATAAACCTGACTGGATGTCAGGCTGGTACTGGTGCTGTGCCTTGAGTTACAATAAAGTTGAGTCCTTCAGACTGAGCTAAAATGTAATCAAGAAGTTTTGAAGTGCAAGAATCAGAAGTTAATCAGTACTCAATTTAAAATAACACAGCAATTGAATTTTGGAACCTTGCTGTGAGGTGGTGGGGGTTTTTTGTTAGCTTTTTTCTTCTTCTTTTCTTTTACCAATAAAACTTGTTTGTACAATCAGTTTAAGACATGTTTTTATTCCCCTGTTATTTGCTGATGTTTCTTCAGATATTTCATATGGTTCTGCTCTGTTTACACCAAGTTGAAATAGAGGAGTAATAATTTGTTTTGTGGTACTAGCTGATGTGAATAAAATCCAAAGCAGAACACGTTTCCAGTWACACTGATATGGTACAGCTGAATTTAGCCATCCAGAACTGCAACTGCAACCCCTTAGAACATTTTTAGCTCTTGCTCAGAGTCCAAGGGGCAGAGGCTGCCCAAGCCATGACCTTCAGAAGCAGGAGGATGGTTGTCACCCAACAGGTTGATCTGTTCCTCAGTTATTCCTCAAAAGCACATCTAAAGTTCTCCTGTAGTTTTGCCCCTCAGGTGGCTGACATTAGGTACCCAACTGCTCTCTCTGCTGCTCCTCCGCACCCAAGACCTTCAGTAAGATTTTGGTGGATTATGAGATTTAGGAAAAATGCTGTCCTGTTTTCATCCTCAGCCTCCAGGCARCAGGGCTGGCTAACTTAGTGATTTCAGAGACTTTTCCCCAATTAACAGGACTCTGATCAAGCTGCACTTTGTTTTGGCTACTAGTTTGTGCTGTATCTAGCATATTGCTTCCAAATGCCTAGAAAAAATTAAAAGCCAGAACAAACCAAMCCCCTTTCATACTGCTAAATACCAAGTGTGAAAATTAGAAGAAGTGAAGCTTTTAATCTCACTTTACTTGTAAAGAAAGATGTTTTTCAAACTTGGTATCAGAAAATGCAACAAAACGCCTACACCCAAGTTTGCAGATACTCCATTTAAACTCAGGTTTAGTATAGGTAGTTTGGCTAAATAAAGCAAAATCAGTAAGAGTCAATAAAAAGAGAAATAGAACTGCATGACTGGAGACAAGAAGCCAYGATTGCATCCAAGTGATGATGGCAAACCATCATTCAGTGCTCAGACCATTCCAGGAGTAGTCCAAGATGGAGCATTGCAGCATGCTCTGCTTACATTTGACCTGATTTACTACAGTTGTGATCAATTTATTCCTGGTCTGAAATATCAAACAAAAGGCAGCCATAGAGCATGATAAGCTATACTTACCTTTCTTCTTCTGTTTTGCTTCTCCCAAATGGTGTCTGTTTCAAATGTTGGCCTAAGGARCAGTCTTACCTTGTGATGCCCCCCTGTGTATATATTTCACAGCATCCAGCAACCACAAATCTCAAAACCATATTTAGTGACAAGGCACCCTGAGATTTTTGCTGGCCTGGATTATTTAGGGTGTTAGAAGAAATATTTTGTTTATCAAGCAGCAAGTAACACAAGTAAGAAAGATTAACAGCTCCTGGAGATCAAAGACATTAGTGTGCTCTATTTTACATAAGCAGATTTTAATGCTTTATGGATGTTACAGAAAATTTACAGTATATGTAAAGGTATAAATAGAATTTCTGTCTCTGAATAGAGACATTTAGAAATAAACATATGTACTCAGTATCTTGCCTTGCAGACTAAAGCAATGCAGCTCTTCAGCTGAAGGGTTGTAATTGTTCATGCCTGCAGATAGGACTGCAAGGCTGAGTGCRGGAGCCACACTTCATAAAGCAAAGACTTTTCAAAGGCACAAACATTCTTGTTTTATGAGAATTTTCACTTATTCCAGTGCTGGTGACTGCCCCACCACRTTCTCCCCTGGGCACGAGGAGACAGATTTTGTAAGGTGTCAGATCATGCAAACAACGTACATGAAATTGCTGTGATACTGTAGGGTGAAGGGCTGAGCTGAAGGCAGAGCTTTGCTCTCATGTCTGGGTTCCTGGGACAGAGCTCTTAAAAGGCCTTTCTTCCTTCCTTCTGCTGTTGTCCAAAGCTGACAACAGTTTTCACTTGATTTTTTTTCCTTTCCAAAATTCCCTGAGCCCATAATCAGGGCTCCACAGCAAAGAGGAATCTACTTATGATGAAGTGAGTAACTTGGRCTCTGTAAAGACTAATCTGAATGTTTCTCTTTTCTTCACTTTATTAGATCAGTAAACTTTGATCTATTTTTTTGCTTCTTTATTTTCTGCCTCTGTGTAGAGTTGGAAGGGTGTGAATAGTGTGAAGTAGAATGTCAACTATTTCTTTCTTGAAATATTCTGTGAGAACTACATGCCCTGAGATCCTTGTATTTTRCCAGTAGTCCCAGTAAGCTGTGCAAAGCCTCCTCCCATGCAAACAGAAGTAAATCAAGGAAGGCTTTGTGTTTGGCATATTTATGAGAAATTAATATCTAAAGCCTTCACAAATACCTCTTTTTCTCTCCCTCATTACTGTTGTTTTTAAGAGGCTGTCAGGATTTTCTGCAGATGGGAAAATAGCTTTCCTTCACCCCCTCACCCTCTGTCACCAAATATGTAATTATAAGAAGAAGCAGTTCCTGTACAATGTGGYTTCCAATAAGAGGGCACACTTTTTGAGCTGTGTTATTACAGTTTTGTTTGACAAAAACAATAAAGCATACATAATTTCTAGTGAGAGTAGTCCTGCTGACCTCAATGACATGTACATTTGCTGGTTGAAATTGTAACATCATTTGAGATAGATGCACAATGATGATTCCATGTAATTCAGGTATTGCRAATGCATCTCTTGGGTCCAAGGATGTACTGGAAGGCAAAGCAATCCCTTGGCCATCACTTAGCCTGGTTGGCAAAAAGCACAAATACTCATCTGGAACAAATAAACTACATGGCACCTGCAGCAAGAAGGAGCTGGACTTGATGATGCAGGAGATGTGTCCTGATCTGTGTTACAGGCATCAAAGAGAACCATAGCAGCATTAATCCCCTCTGGACAATTATTTTCTTGGTGGAAAATGCTAGCAATTGCCTTGGAAGGGTCTGTGTGGCACATTATGCTGAGTGATTTCAGCTCCTTCGTTGTGCCCATGAGTCCCTGCCAGCGTSAGTGAGTTCAGGGGCAGCAGATGGGGCAGTGACATTTCTAATGGGAAGAGATAGGAGGGAGGGAAGGGAGAAGGTTCCTGCTGCAGAGCTTAGGGGAGAGAGGACAGGAAAAAGGAAATTTGGAAAGTCTTCTTGCTGGCGATGGAAATTACTGGACTTTGGAAATCCTGGATAATAGTCATTGTGCACATGTGCTTGTCTCATGGATCCCAGCCATCCTTGTAGATCCTTGGCTGCTGTAGATGGGTATGTCCATAACCYCTTTTCTTCAAGATACATTTTACTACTGGCAAAAAGAGAACTGAAATATATGTATATAAAATACATATATTTAATATATATGCAKAYATTTAYGCMTACATATATTTGGCATAACAGCTTCTCAGAGTTTCTGTCTGTAACAAAACCCCAAAACCRCAATATTTTTTACCTTGGGTTTTAGCTTAAACAGCTGCCTTCRCTACAAGTGTTGTGTTTTTAAATTCAAAGTTCTTGCTAATATAATTTCTTACTGACTTAATTAAGAAAGGAAAACTTTTAATAGTGACCCTAATTGTTTGCTCACATGAGGGAACAGTCACTCATTCTAAGTATTGAGGTTTCTGTCTGCCCATTTCCCTGCACTGCACAAAACCTCTGAGAACTGCAGAGGAGATGATATTTTTTTTCTTAACTTGTAACTTCTGCCAACTGCACACATCCACTCRGTGTTTTGCTCTCTGAGAGGTTTGGCATCTCTACTGAGGAAGTGCCTCYATACTGATTATGAAGTTGGTTTAATTCTTAAATATATTCTGTTCAGCCACATTCCATTCAGACTTTTCATTATATTACCCGTAATTTTTGTGTTTTTAGCATAGCAGGGCAGTTTAACAATTTCATTAACACAAATTAAAAAAAAAAAAAACAAAAACAACCAAAACCCCACAAGCCATACAATAAATAAAGATAAACACAGAAAAGCAAAATTTTAGCATTAGTCCCTTGGAAACAATAGAATTATCTGCCCTTCACTTATGAGATGCATAAAGGAGGAAATAATAAAACAAAATATAGCATGTATGAGAGTGAACTGTTGTTTACCTTGACCCTGAATTAATTTGATCCTGTTTTAGAATAACATGACTATTTCATATCTGAATATCAGCTGAACAGACAAATACCACACTGAAATGATGTGSTCCTTGTCAGTGGATATTGCATGTAGTGGAATTTTCCTTGTTTAAATGTTTAAAGCATTAAAGATGCTTTCATGACACAGATGCAACAGAGACAGAACAATGAAYATCATTAATGGAAGTTTCACAGATGACCGTCAGAAAACAGACTGTCAGCAGGAGTTATCCTTTCTACTTTCCCCAAGCTACTTTCCAGTGATATTGACTGCTAATTACATGGTTTCTCTAACCTGTAAAACTTTGGTGACTTTAATATTCTAATTAGGGAGAAAAGGGGATCCTAAAAAAACCCWAAACTAAACTAATATCTTATCTAGAACAATCCAAAATATTTAAACAAAGAAACAGTATTGTCAGATGAGTAATAGGGAAAAAAAGTGCATGTTGGAAATAAATAATTTTGGTAACTTCAGAATGTTGTGTGTTTATTTTGACCAAATAACTTTTTAAAAAGGASGTTTCAATTCATTTAAATTTGATACACTTTCAGCAAATAAGAAGTATTTTTCTGCTTCTGTTTTTGACAAACAGGTATTATTGAAGCAAAGGTCATTTTGCCACAAAAKCACTGTGATTTTGCTGATAAGCCAGGACTCAGGCTGTGATGGTGGAACTCATGTTAGTATCTACTTGACAACCTGAGTTGTCCTTTTGGGTACAGGTGCACAGCCCAGCTCTCAATGGCTTTATGTGCCTTTTTCTGGAACTGATGTGCAAAGGATGTGCTGTCTTACTGTTGCTTCTTCTACAGTTATCACCAATCATTGTTGTAATCCACTCCTTCACCCAAAAATCACAATGTTCTGTGAGAAAATACAGACTAAAATGATAAATGTTATTTCAATTTTGAAAACATTGAATAAGGAACAAAGCATTCGTGGTGTAAACAGTTACCTAGA